GAGGAGGCTGGGCCTGGACCCTGGGTCTGGGGGAGGAGGCTGGGCCTGGACCCTGGGTCTGGGGGAGGAGGCTGGGCCTGGACCCTGGGTCTGGGAGGAAGAAACTAGATTGGATTGCCCCCCTCCTGCTTCAGGCGTGACTCTGGTGGGACGCCCACGTGGCGCGACAGGAGGGGCCCTGTGCCTGTTCTTTGCGGGGACGGGGCTGCTGATCTGCATCTTCCTGCTGCTGTGGTGTCTCTACCGCCGGGCGGCCCAACAGCGGCCCTTCGCACACCACCGGCTCCCCGACGGCGGGGATGAGCCAGGTGAGTCCTGCTTTCCCTGGAAGGTCTGCACGTTTCCTTAACCTTCTGGGCGCTTTAGGGCGCCCTGCCAAAAAATGCAGGACCCCATTCAAGACCAATAAAAGCCCCCCCCCCAGGCCACGTCCTGCCCTCTAGTTATCTGAAGTCTCACAAACACACCCCAGGTCCTCCCCAGGGCAGTTGGCACCCGCCCCTCCCGCGGCTCTGCAGCAGCCTTGATTGCCCCGCCCCCTTCAAGGCCCCGCCCCTTCCCGCGGAACCACACCCCCTCCGGGTGCCCTCAACCTTTTCTTTAAAAACCAGTTCAAATGGATGGTCGGAATCTCTCCCATCTCCTCATTGTCCCGAGGCCCAGGAGACCGACAGGCCCGGGTCGCCAGGCCCCGTTCTCCTGGGGATGACCCCTCCCCTTTGCTTTCACAGTTTTGCATTTGGACACCCCAAAGGACCCCTACGACCTCTACTTTTATGCGCCGGATGCCTGGGTCCCTTCACACATCGCCACCAAGCAGCCCCCTCCCACACCCCCACTACCACCCAAGCTGCCCCCGCCGCCCCGCGGGGGTCGGCCCCAGCGCCTGGAGTCGCTGTCCCCGGCCACGCTCCCCAACAACTTCGTGTGAACCCCTTCCGGGCCCTCTGGGACCCGTGCGTTGCTAAGGGGAGGGAGAACCCAGAGGTCCTGTCCTCCTGGAAGGCTTGGCTGCTTAGTGGACTCCCCAGTAGAGGATCCGAGAAACAGAAACCGCTTTCGCTGATCTGAGAATTGGRCTGAGGCCGAATAAACCAGGTGTTCCCACAGCTTGAGACCTCCAACCTGCGTTCTGGGCGCCAGGGGCAGGGTCAGAGTTGGCTGTGACTGAGGAAGAAGGGAGCAGGTGAGTGGCTGGTACTTTGGGATCTCAGGGTGGAGGGCTGGGGCCTGGACCCCTGGGTCTGAGGGAGGAGGCTGAGGGTCAGAATTCCTGTGACCTTACAACCCAGGACAACTGAGTCTGTACACCAAAGCATTTTATTGGAGTGGGGCAGGGCAGGATTTACAATCACAGAGACAGACACCAAGACACGACCCTGCCCCAGGAAAAACACTCCTTTCCCCAGTCCCACTCCCTTTCCTGGGATTCTGTGACTTCTCCTACATATGTTCCCCAAATTCTAAACTGAAAGAGGGGTATCTGAGAGGGGAAGGATCCCAGACTTTAAGTCATTTAGCCCCTGAGGGACACAACAAATGGCCACTGAGAAACTTCGGGTAGTCTGATACCACCCAGGAGAATAAAGTGCAAGGAATTGGGGGAAGTGGGGGCATCTTGAAACCACCATGGGGAAGTTCAATGGTGGTGGCTTCAAACCATTGAATTAATAGACTAGAGCAGCCACTATTTAGACCTGAAAACTGTATCAGAAAAAGTGCACGGGGGAGGGGAGGAAGGCATGTTGTTAAAACTGCCTTTTTGGTTGTTTCCCTGGACGCTGTGCAAAGCTAGGGAGAAGGTTGGTGAATTTGGTGCATCAGCAGAATCTGCTGGTGGTAGGGGGGAGGGGGGAGGGGTTGAAACCGCCGTTTTTCCCTCAGAAACGCTGGTGAGAATGAATCCCTGGAATGGCGGGGATGGGGAATTGGTAAACCAGCCTAGGAAAATGCAGAAGAGTAAGGAGAGATTTGGAAATTCTAGAGGAGGACCTTGAACTTTTCTGGGGAGGGGGACTGAGGAATCTCAGGGATTAACCTGAGAGTCTCTGGGGTTAAAGGAAAGGAGGGGGTGCCTCAAAACCACAAGAGTAAAAGATTGAACTGTCGGTTCAAATAAAGCCCTGAAAGGAGAGATTTGAAACCACTGAGGCAGAACAAGTAGAGAAGGGAAACTTCAAGGGGAATTGGGTATTCTTGAAACTGCCAGTCTGCAGCTTCACTCCCCCTGAGAGGCAGTTGGGAAGGGAAGAGGTTTTGACAGCACTGGGGATAAGGGAAAGTGCTTCTTAGGCCTGGCAGGACAGAGGAGTGGGGTTCCTTGACACTGCCACTCAGGCCAGAGATGTATGAAGTGGAGGTCCTGGAAACTGCCATTCAGTGGGAGGCACATGGTCAGTAGTCCCGGACAGGGGGTGGGGGCCTGGGAGGCTGAACCGTGCTGTGGGTTGCCCCATAGGAAGGAGGGGGAGCCGGGGGTGCTCCAGGGGGCTCCGCTTCATCCTCCATTTCACTTTCATCACTGCCAGCCAGCTGGTCATGGCCAACGAACCCACACTTCTCTTCACTCATCTCTTCGGGCTCTGCCCATGGCTGCTTCTCTCCAGAGGCAAAGACCCCATAGAAGATGACACCCCCATAGTGCACCAGGGAGGCTATTAGGAACACGTACTGCCACTCCTCCCGAGTCTGTATGTGGGACAACAGAGGATCAGGTCAAGTAAGAGGACAGACAGACAGGGGTAGAGCGTGGACAAGGTGGGGGCTTTGGGGGGGATAAGCAAAGAAAGGGAGGCTGAGGTTCTGAGAGCAGAAAGGGCAAGCAGTGGAGCCCASGTGACACACGTGGTCAAGAAACAGCCAGGCATACATCTGGAGGGCAAGGGAGCCAGGTCTGCCCACTGACCTTGTGCTTAGTCATGGCACCCACGATGATAGGGCACACCATGCCTGACAACGTGCCCACGCCGTTGGAAATGCCCATGAGGATGCTGGCATAGCGCGGAGCGATGTCCAGGTGGTTCACGTTGAACCCTGGCATGGAGGCAAGCCACCAGGCTTCACACCAGGGACTCCCACAGGATGTCCCTGACCCCCAGGGCAACTTCCTCTTTTTTATGGGGGGGAGGATACCCGGGAATTGAACCCAGGAATCACTTAATCACTGAGCCACATCCCCAGCCCATTTCATTTTCATTTTGAGACAGGGTCTCCATAAATTGCTTAGGGCCTCATTAGTTGCTGAGGCTGGCTTTGAACTTTATCCTCCAGCCTCAGCCTCTGGAGCCACTGAACCCCCCCCACACACACACACACACACTCTTTAGTCCACCTTTTGTAAGGCAGGAAGGTCCATTTCTGAGCCAGGAAGCTCCCTATATGTCTGACCAACACCCCACAAGCTGTGGATCTGCGGTTCTCACCAGAGATGGCGAAGCCACTGAAGCCCACCGCAAGGACCAGGAAGGAGATGGCCACGCCTTTGGAGTGCGAGTAGCCGACCACCAACAGCAGCGTGGCTTCCATGCCAAAGCCTAAGGAGGGCCGTGTCTCCTGAGTGCCCGCCAAGGCGGGGTGCAGGCTGCCCCAGACCCATCCCAATCTTTCTCTGTTCATCCCAGATGGGTGACCTCTGTACTGGGGGCCCAGGATTTTTCTCTCATTCCTCCAGACCCAGGAGCAGGCCCCTGGTTTCCCAAGACCAGCCTTTGCCACAGTCCCCTAAGTAAGCCACACCCGGAAGCTGCAAGATCTGAACCACATTTGTGCACCTTCATGCCCTCCCTCTGTCACCGCCCCCCAACACACACACACACACACACACACACACACTCAGTAGACAGCATGCCCCCTGCAGATCCCTGCCACTCATAGCCCCTAATGTCCTGCTCTGCCCAGTCACTTGAAGGCCCACCCTTTCATACCCATCTTGGTCTCCAACACCCGCCTTGCCCTTACACGCTTGGCCTCTGAGACTGGTGCATGAGAATCTGCTCCTTGCAGGCCTGCCTTCATCCCTCCAACCCAGCTATGCCAACCCCGCGCTGTGGCATTAACCGCTCCTTTGACTACGCACAGGACACCCACTCATTGCATTTGCCAAACACCTCTCTGCTCCGAGGGGGAGGTCCYAGACCACTCACCCCCGCAGTTCATCAACTTGCGCACGTTGGTGGTGGACATGATACGGCGGCTCCGCAGGAAGTCCGCAATCTGACCCCCGATGGGCACGATGATAGTCATGACCAGATGGGGCAGCGCTGACACCAGGCCCACCTGCAGGAGCAGGTGTTGGGGTGCCRTCAGAGATTGCTGATTGGCTGTCTCTGCCTGCAGATGCTCCACCGGCTTCTCCCTGCCTGGGAATCCCTCTCTCACCCCCGCCGCTAGCCCTCCTCCTGGGCCTACCTTGCTGATCTCAAAGCCAAACACTTCTTCAAAGTACGCGGGCTGGGAGATGAGGAGCAGGTAGAATGTCCAACTGCGGCAGAAGTTAGCCACGATGATGGCATAGACTGGCATAGACGTGAAGAAGCGCCTCCAGGGTGTGTTAAATTTCTGGGGGTTGGGGAATGGGAGAGGCCGCTAAGATGGAGACAGAGCTAGGTGCTTCTCCGTGTCCCTCCAGTGACCCCACTATAGTCCCGTAGAGATCCGTGGATCCTGAACTCACTGAAGCTTCTAGGGATCTAAGGGCACCGGCCATCCTGTTTCCCCATGGGGACCCCAAGGGATTTCAACCTCACCACAATATTTCAGGGATGAAGGGGTGGATCCTGGCTCTCCTGTGGCCTCTCAGGTTCTCAGGTGCAGCCCTATGAGACCCTCAGGGACCCATATACATTGAACCCAGGAGTTTCTCTATTCGTCACACCYCCTAAATCTAAATTCATCCACCCCAAGGACTAGCAAACCCCCCACCTTCGGATCCTCCTCCGGCTGCTTCGAACCCCACCTCACTAGCAGTTCCAATCCCACCCACCGCCCGACCTAACCCCGCCCCCAGCACCTGCTAATCCCGTCCTCCAGGGAGCGTAATGGGCTCCTAGATTCTAGTTTTTGTGTTCCAGTCCTGTCTCCTCAAGTCTACAGGGACCCGCCGTCACGGGTCCAGACATCCCTCCCGCCCGCCCAGCTTGGCCCCGGACCGTGAGAGGGTTCATGAGTTTGGCGCTCTCGCCGATGGCGTCCTCGATGTACTTGCGCTCCTCCTCGGAGATGCTGGGGTGCAGTGCAGGGGACTCATAGGAGACAAGCAACCAGAACAGATACCAGAAGATCCCGAAGCTGCCTGAAGGGGGTCAGGAGGGCATGGGAACGGGGTGACGACGGGCCCCGCTCCGCCCCAGAGCCACCTGGAACCAGGCGTCGGGGGCCCTCACCGTAGACGTAGAAAACAGAGCTCCATCCCGAATACTGCACCAAGACCCCGGCGAGGGGCATCGCGACCACCGCCCCAGCATAGGAACCTAAGGAAGAGGACGCTGGCTAGAAAACTGGCTCATCTTCCCTGGGCTCACAATGTGGACCCTCGGACCTCGCCTTTCTGGGACCCCAAGGGATTTCAACCCTTAAATAGCGCAAYTTAAAGTAGCGGAAAGTCTGAAGGAAAGACCACACCCCTTCTCCCTCGGATGCAGGAACTGGGTCCTCAGCTCCTTTCTCTCACCGCAAAAGGCTGTCGTCGCCAGGCGACTCCGTTCTAAGGGAGGGGCCCATTTGCTCCAGATCCCGTGGCAGGCAGGGTAGGTGACCCCCTAGGTAGAAAAAAAAAAAAAAAAAAAAACAAGGTCAATGAGAAGAGGCAGGGTCGGATAGGGGGCGGGGTCGTACGAGGCTGGGCTTTACCTCTACCAACCCCTGCAGGATCCTCACGAAGATGACACAGCCATAGTGGACGCGGGCAGCTGAAGGGATCAGCATGTTTAGAGTGGAGGTAGCCACAATGGCAAAACCGAAAACCCTGGTGGGAAGGGTGGGAGAGAAAGATTTCTAGGAGGCCCTCCCCGCCCACACCAGGCCGGGCCCCAGGTTCACTAGAATCCCTGGTCCCACCTATTCCGTGATTCCCACCTTCCACGATGACAAGCCCTGCCCCAAACTCGGGCTCCTCCCATTTCCCTGGAGGCAGATCCCCAAGTTCAAGACACACTAACTCCTCTCAACTGTAGTTTCCAGCCACCTTGAGTCCCCACCACCATACCTGTTGGCGGCGAATTTTTGGCAGATAAATCCTCCAGGAATCTGAGTGACAATGTAGCCCCAGAAAAAGGAGCCGTGTATGAGGCCGACAGTCTCTGGATCCCAGCTGAACTGGGCTTTCTGCGGGCCAAAAGGCACATCAAACCAGCCGCCCTGCCCCAGGCCCTGCCCTCCACCAATCACCGTCTACAGAATTAGCCCCTTGGCCAATCAGCCGCAAGGATACCCTCCCACCCCCAAACACATGCCAATCAAATATCAGACCATCTTCTGTCAGTCGACTAATCGCTATTCACGTTTCAAGGACGAGGACTACCACCTTAATAACGGGCCCATTGCTGCCTAGAATGTTCCTTCCGCCTGCTTTCCTACCTCAGTACCCTTCCCTGAATGTTCCAGGGCCCATAGCATGCGTGTGTCTCTCTACGTCTATTCATCTTATAACCTGTTTGTGGGATGACCTGGTTACGGTTTGGGCAGGGACAAGGAGCTGCTAAATTAGGCGTGGTCCTGATTGGAAGGAAACAAAAGGAGGACCTCTGGTAGGTAGTCCACAGTCCAAACCAGGATTTTTCCCTGCTGAGGCAGGGGCATGGCCTCTACTATAATGAACTTAAAATAGTGGAAAGTCTGAGTCGGGGCGAGGTTTTAGGACAGCCAGAGCAGATGGGACAGAACTTAGGGGGCAGCGGGACTTCAGAAAATACAGGATCAAGTTTAGGGAGGAATTTGAGATAGGCCTGGGATTAAGTAGATGTGAGCCAGGAACATGAGCGTGGGGCACAGGCGTGAACAAAATTACTGGTAGGTATGAAATGGAAAAGAGATAACACATAGGGGACCTAATGGTGGGACAGAGTCTATTTTTTGCAATCAGGGACCCAAAAGGGGGCAGAGCTTCATTTAGATCTGGGCGGAGCTTAGGAAGTGGAGAGACCAGAAGCCAGATTAGAGCTAAGGAGTGAAAGAGTCCAAGGCACTGAGGCTGTGGTTGGGAGGGGCGTGGCCTGGACCGAGTGTAAGCGAATGTGACATCATCGGGGTGTGGGCAAGGTTAACCCCGGGGCTCGGTCCTGAGCTACCTGCACCACMACGTGACCCCCACGGTGGGTCGTGCTGTTGTTGACCATGGAGACGATGGCCACGCCCAGGTTGCAGCGGATGCCAAAGCTGATGCAAAAGCCCAGACCGCTCATGATGGCGATAATGTAGCGGCGAGGGAGGCCAAAACAGGTGCAGTCCACAACCGGAGGGTCCCGGGTCTGCGTTGTCACCGGGCGCCCATCAGCACTCAGCTCCAGTGTCTCGGCACCTTCCTGTCGCTTCTCCAGAAGGCTTTAGGGCAACAAGAGTCAAAGACTCAGAAGTCCTCACCCCCAGCCCCCAGCTCCCTGTGACATAGGAGTCCAGTGCAAAGGCTCCTGCTTTTGAGAACCAGAATTCTAAGCCCTCACCCCCTYCTTTGCTAGGAGTCCAAGTCCCTGGATCTCTTATCTCCCCGTGATCCRGGAATCTGGTCCCCATCCATCTCCCTTTAACCAGGAAATGGGATCCCCAACCCTCCCCTCCCTCAGGCTCAGGCATGAAGATTCTTGCCCTGTTAACCTCCAACGCTGACATCTCTCTCAACTCAGGACTTCTAGACCAAAGATCCCTTTGAGATCCAAGAGACTATGTCACCAACACCCACTCCAGGGCCCAAATACTCTCCCAGCCCCCTCTTCCAGACCTCAGTCTATTTAAGGAAGCAGAGGTGCCAAGGAGAAACCTCAGCAAAGGTGTCAAAAGAACAGATGCTTCCCAGCTACCCCTGCCCTCCCCCATGGCGTGCCCTTCCCTGCTTCCAGGCCCCAGGTGTGGGGCTGACACCCAGCTGACTCCACCACTGCCACCAGAATCCCATTGCCCAGAACAAGGGGGTAGGGAGAAGGCCAGCGGGCCCAGGAATCAGGCAGCCCAGCCTGGGCATCCCTGGGGGACCTGGAGTTCAGACTGTCAGCCTAGGGCATAGGGAGGGGGAATGGCGGGTGGTGTCCTGGCAGGGGACAGATGGCCCTGGTAGGGAGATTGGCTCATTCCCCAGCGTGATTCTCGCCCCCGCCCATTCTGGATCCAGGATTGAGTCTGTGATGATGGATAGGGCACTTGGAGGGCCGCCTCAAACCCAGAGAGAGGCTGCAGGGAAAAAAGARATGTCTTGAGACAGGTGGGGAAGACCCAAAAGGAGCGGAATAGAGAGAGCCAGGTCAGAAACACAGGAGAGGGAGAGAGGGAGAGTGTGGAGGACACACCCCCCGAGAGAGGGGCACAGAAACCCAGAGAGAGTGGGACAGAGGCCCAGAGAGAGGAGGCAGAGAGCCAGAGAGGAGGACAGATAAACAGGGAGGGAGCAGGACAGAGACCCAGAGAGGGAGGCAGAGACCCAGAGAGATAAGAACCAAACTCAGGACAGAGGACATGGATGCTGAGGGAGGGGACAGACACTCCAAATGTTGAAAGATGGAGAAGCTAGGAGACACAGGCGAGGCCGGCTGGGGACTGATGTGTGAGGTGTGGCCCCTCTCTGAGGCGGGTAAGCAGCTAGGGTATCGGGCTGGATCCCAGGAAGGGGCTAGAACAGATGGAGGCGAGGGAGACTGGGACGGGGGAGGAAAGAACAGCCAGACGGTCTGGGGGGAGGGAAGTGGAAGAGATGAGAAAACACAGCCATGCTCCCATCCTGGAACTTAAGGAGGTGGGGAGGGGCGGGTAAGAACAGGAGAGGTTAGAAAGAGGGAAGAGTGGACAGACCTGGGGGGAAGAGGACTGAGACCCAGAGAGAGCAGACAGAGATCTGAGACAGGTGGAACTGGAACCCCTAGAATGAATAATATGCAGGGACTCCCCTCAGGTACCCCCTGTCAGAACATGTCACCCAATGAGACTAGGTCTTGACCCATCTGGATATCAGATATTTGACCCTGAAATCCAAGATGTGATTGCAGCCCCTGAAATGTGATATTCATGGTGTATATTGTGAGATATCAGATCTCAAACCAAGATTTTATAATTGGGGGTCTCAGTATTCCACATCTATAAAATGGGGGCAAGATTAGCAAGTTATTAAAGAGGAACTGACAAGGTGATGGTAACTGTTTAGAAGACCAGCAATGCAGACAATAGAACAGAGAGGGAAGAGTCTGGGTGCAGATCCCCCTCCTGTYTCTCTGGGTGTCTGTCCTCCACACATTCCCCTCTTTGGAGAGACTCCTCGACCTCAGGCATGGGGACTCAGCAATGAGGAGAAGCAACGTTTAAGAGGCAGCTGACCAAAATGGAGAGGAGGTCTCAATTGCCCTTTCTCAGGAATGCACACTCTCTGTCTCCTTACGTCCTTTTGCTTTTCTCTTCCCATTGTACAACAAGGAAAGTGAGGTCCAGAAAGCAGAATCAAGGTCATCACAAGAATAGCAATACAATGGGGGCTGGAGATGTGGCTCAGTGGTTAAGCATCCCTGGGTTCAATCCCCCCCCAAAAAAAAAGAATAGCAATGGGGCCTGGTCCTTCTTGGCCCTCATCTCCTTAGCTTTGCTCCAGCCAGTGTCTGACTCTCAGAAAGGAGGTATTCTGGCTCCTCTCTCCCTGCATTCCCCTTCCTCCCATGTCCTTGTCCCAAGTCTCTCTGGGTACTGTCTGTTTCCTGGCCCAAGCGTCCTCCACCCACTCTAGCATCACTCATCTCGAGGAAAATCTGCAGCTTCTGTACCAGGCTGAGGAGGGAGACTAGACTGATCTGGGTTCAAATGACAGGTCTTGTACTCAGCCATTGACACCCCCACTCCCAAATGAACCTAGAGGATGACATGGGATGTGGGTTGGAAGAGGCATTCTCCCCTCTTCTCCAGCCTTCAAAGGGAACCCTGGGCTTTGGATGCAAATGCTCTTCTCTGCACCAACTAACTCCCTGCTCAGTGTCCTGGCCTGAGCTCTGAACTCTGGGGTCTCTGGGGACCGAGGAAGCAGTTCAGCGAGGTGAGGGTAAGGCAGAGATCGACTGAGAGAAACCCAGACACAGATGAGGAACTGAGAAGCACAGACTGAGGGAGGGGGCCTAAGGAGCACATCCCTCCCGCTGCCGCCCCCCAGCCCCCTCCACCAGCACATCTCTCTCGCTCTCCTGACTTCGCACTGATGTATTTTGAGAAACTCGTGAAAGGAGGCGAGAAAAAGGGTGGGGAGGGGATGGAAAACTGGGRAAAAGAAGGAGTGAAGTGCTCTCAGCTCCCCCTCTACACCCCCCCACACTGCGCCATCCCCCTGCCTCCTCCCTCTGTCCAGCCTTATTCCTGTCTCTCATGTTACTAAAGGGTGGGGTAACTTTGGAGCTAGGAGGTGATCTGCAGCAAGCAGGACTAATGTCAGACTTAGAAAGGACTTGAATGGCGTAGTGAGATGAACTGAGGATCAACCAAAGGTGGCATTGGGGCTGTGGGTCAAGGGCACAGGGTCTGAGGGCATGGGGGCAGAGGCACAGTGTTGAGGAGGCTGTCTCCTCCCTGCACTGTGGCCAGGTATTTTTAGGCTTCTCCGCAGCTGAGTAATTTCTCTGACTTGGAGCCAGAGCTGGGGTTGGGTGAGAGACTGCAGGGGATGTGTCCATACTACCCTGAGGGACACCCAGGTCACTGGAATCACCACCCTGGATGGGAGGAAGTCCCTCTCAGCTCTAGCCTGTATCCTTTGGGAAGTCTGTCCTACCCCAGAAGCCTAATTTTTTGGACTGCAACTGCCTTCTCCCCCAGGGACCCAGGATACCCTGGCCTCTGCCCCCCCCAGCTTAACCCCCCTCAAGGACAAGGACCTGTGGGCCCCAATCCGCTTTAGCTTCAGATTAAACTCCCCGAGAGACAGAAAGTGAGAAAGACACAGAAAGATGGAGATACCCAGGGTGGGGAAATACAACTCAGAGAGGCAGGAAGCAGAGATCCAGATAAAGAGGGGACAGAATCCCAAAGAAGGTGGTACCATAGATTCAGTGAAGAGGAAAGACCCAGAGTCAGGTCCAGAGTCAGGAGTTTATAATAGAGACCTACTGACAGCAATGGTCAGAGAAGAGCCGGAGGAGCAAGCCCTGGGACTGGGATGGAGATCCAAAAAAAAAAAAAAAAGAGGGGACAGGAACCCAGAGATAAATGTGAAGAGACCCAGAGAGAGTGGTACAGAGACCCTCAGAAACAGAACAGTGACCCTGAGCAAGGGAGATGTACAGTCCCCGAGAAAGAGCAGCGCCCAGGGTGCCGTGAGGTGTAGAAAGAAATGAATGAGGTAATGGACAGACTGGACGGGGAGAACGGAGCTTTTGGAAACTAAGCGAGAAAAACTGGACAGATGGGAGGACCCCCGACACACCACCCTAGGGTATTGCCTTGTCTGTTTGTCCTGCTACCAGGTGGGAATGAGCATTCTCCTGGGACCCTCACACTCTTCCCCTCCCAAGACCTCCACCAGGCTCACCGGTGCAGCTTCCCGAGGGCGCGACCCGCTAGCTTCCGAAACTCTTCCTGGCGGAACTCCATGGTGACTGCCCCTGACGCCGGTGCCCCCACCGATCCCCCCGCCCGCGGGCCCGGGCGGCCGCGTCCGGGCTCCCGGGGTCCGCCCCGGCCCGGCCGGCCCCGCAGCTCCGCTCGGGGGGAAGGAGGCTGCGATTGCCGGCTGCCTGGGGGCTGTCACAGGACTCAGCACCGGGGGCGGGGCGGGGCAGGGGCGCAGAGAGGCCCCGCCTCGGCACACGCTAGATCCCGCCCCCTATATTTCAGGCACGCCCCTTTCCCAGCCCTCCCACCCTCGGTCTCCGCCTGTCCATTCCAAGACGACTCCTCTAATTTCTGAACTCCCTCGGAATTACATCGCCCCCCAAGATGCCTCCCGCGTTTCACCCTCCCTGGGTCCTTCCACCCAGATTTTCTCTCCGCTTCTGAATTCTCTTCCTCATCCTAGATTTGGCTCCCCACTTCAGCGCCCCCCGAGTTCCCTCCTGCACTTTCATCCCCTGGATTCCATCCTTCCACTCCCGTCCCTCACTGCTTCTGTAGCCCACTTCCACCTCGCCCCGAATTCTGGCCCCCACTCAGTTCACTCCCATCCCGCCCCATCTCCGGGTCCAGCGTTCTCATACAGACGTCGTTTTCCTCTCCTTTAGGGAATTCTTTCTCTCAGTTCCCGCCCCTTCATCTATTCACACATTGTCCCCTCCAGTTTCACTCCACCCGATTTCTTCATCCTTGGGTTCCATTCCTCCCCCGCCCCCCCAATCCCGCAGCCTCTCAGTTCTACTTCTCCGCTCGCCTCGACCCTCTCCCAGCTCCTTCTCATTCCACCCTCTGAATTTCWTTCCTTACTGTTATATCCGCCCCCATTGCCCGTAGAGACCTCCGAGGTTCTCTCCCTACTCGGTGTTCTCTCCCCACGCCCCTGGAATGGCTGCGCTTTGGGCTCCGTCCTAGCTCCCCGGGATCTACTCCGCTCTTTAGGTGGTGTCCTCTCGGGTTGAACTCGGGCTCCGCCTGTGTCCCCGCCCCCTAGGTACCCCCGCCCTCAGAGTTCTCTCGCTGCCTTCGGGGATCTGTCCCTTTCCCCTGAGCCTGTCCTCCCCGGGGTCTGTCCCGCCCGGAGTTCTGCTTTGGCCCGGGACTGTCCCCGCCCTCCACCCCTGGATTCCAGCCCCGCCCCGGACAGTTCTCCAGCCCAGCYGCTCCGGGCTGAGTATACATCCAGATCCAGGCTCCAGCTGGGTGCTCCTTTCCCCACCGCCTCCCCGCATCGGGTCGCAAATGCATTTGAGATTAAATTTTCATGATGCGGCCAGCGAAGAGGTGAGAGGAGCAGACGGCGCGGCGGGCGGGCGCCGACCAGCCGGGAAACCACCGACCACCGTGTCCTCGGGCCTCCAGGAGGGACTGGCTGGGTCTCTGGTTCTCACAGTTTTGCCTGTGCTTGGCAAACTCCCGGATCCCCGGGAGAAGACTGAGTCGGAACTCCTGGGTCCGGGGAGAAGCGGCGAAGCCATTCAGACGCGCCACCCTGTGGTAGCGAGTCCGGGGCTGGGAGCGGAGGCGGCGGCTGGGGCTCGCGGCCAGGTGTGAGGGAGGAGCAGATGGTGCAGGGGAGGGAGTGGGAAGGGGGCCCCCGTCGCTGCCAAATCCTGGCCCTCGCCGGAACCATCACCATGGAGACCAAGGAAGGAGGAAAGGACGCAGCTCCACACTTTTTCCAGACGTAGGAATGAGTTCCTCGGCTGCTCAGGGAGGGTCCCCATCCGAACTACAAGTCCCAGAGGCCGCTGGACCTCAGGAGAGTTCATCTGACCCCATTTCTGCTGGGGAAGGGCAGTTGGGAGATGTAGTCCTTGGAGCCAAACTGATGAGGGTGCGTTGCGCCCTCTGGTGGACACAGCAGCCACATTCGTTTATTCACTCGGGCCACAGACCTATCTGAGGGCTACTCCCTCCAGCCCCAGCTCACTTGGTTCCCGCCACACTGGCCTCCTCTTCCAAAATTTACCAATGAGGTTCCTCCTCTTATTTATCCTCCTAGTGTTTACTATGGAAGCAGAGTGTTGGTACTAATTCATTAACAAACACTGAGTGCCTACTAAGAATCAGGCATTGTCGCACTGAGAATTCAACTCAGCCAGGGAAGATCAAAGTATAAAATCTGAAAAAAAAATTTCAGGCAATGTTCCAGAAAAAGGATGTGGGTGGCTAGGATGTAGCTCAGTGGTGCTGGATTAGCTTAGCATTCCAGTGGCCCTGGGTTCAATCCCCAGCACCAAAAAGGGGCCTCTGGGACAATGCATGTGTGGGAGGGTGGAGTGGAGAGCACATCTCCAACACAGGAAACAGCACTTGCAAAGTCAGGAGGCAGAGGACAACCTGATGGCTTGAAGTCTCAGAGTTTGGTGTAATTGTGATATGGAGCAGGGTTCCAGGAATGGGAAGCCCTCAGGTGAGGGGCAGGAGGCACTAGAGACAGTGTGATTGCCAACAGCCAACAGCCTTTTCTCTACATTTGGGTGCACGGGGAGAAATTCTGGTCAGGAAGTGCCCCCTTGAATGCATAACCACTGCATGGGAGCTGAAGAGAACTGAAAACTGGCAGATGAACTGGAGGATGCTAAGTGGAAGTAACACAGAAGCCAAGAGAAGGTGGGAATAAAGGGTGTGGCCACTATCAGTGTGCCTGGGTCCCAACAAGAAGAGATCATATGGAGGCAGGAAGCGGGCCAGGCCACACACAGCCTTGACTACTAAGGAGCCTGGACCTTCTCCTGGGGGCTCTGGGGAGCCAGAGGGCTGTGAACCAGAAAAGAACAGGGTCAGCTCAAGACGAATGAAGAGAAAGAGAGAACAGGAGGCTGGGACGGGGTCCATGGGAAGAGGATAAGGCCTGAGCTGGGGTGGGGACTCTGGGACTACAATCCAAGGTCCCTCTTCTCTCCCGGCTTTGTGTGTGTGTGTGTGGTGCTGGGATTGAATCCAGGTTTGTACATTCGAGGCAAGCACTCTACCAACTGAGCTATGAGCCAGCCCCTTTTTTTCTTTTTTGGTACCAGGGATTGAACCCAGGGGTGCTTAACCACTGAGCCACATCCCCAGCCCTTTTTTTTTTTTTTCATATTTTATTAAAGACAGGGACTTGCTGAGTTGCTAAGTGCCTTGATAAGTTGCTGAGACTGCCTCAAGATCCTCCTGCCTCAGCCTCCCGAGCGGCCCTCCCATTCTTCACCCCACATATACCTAGCCAGAGACAGAACAAAGGCAAATATCTTTTATTTCAAGCTAGAGAAGCCACCAGCCTTTTCTCTACATTTGGATGCACGGGGAGAAATTCTGGTCAGGAAGGCACCGACAGAAGGGGCATGGCCACCATAAGTTGCTGAGAGAGTAAAAAGAACGAGGACTCAGGACCTGGAAGTCGGCCCTAGCCCCTTCTCTCTCAGACCCACGGGTCCAGGCACCCCATGTCCCAGCTTCCTCAATCCCTTCCCCCAGGTACCTTTCTCTTCTGGTGAAAGGCTGCCTTGCTCTCCTCAGAGTTGATCCGCAAGGGGATATAAGCATCCAGGTGATACAGCTGCTGGGGGCCCCCCATCACCAGGCGGTTCTCCCCGATCTCCAACGACAGCCCCAGGGCTCCATCCTGCAGATGTGGTGTAATCAGCTCACCCTCTCCAGCAATGGCCCCAAAACAGCAGCCTCACATATTGGGAAACTACATTTAAAGGGCCATAGCATGTCTGAGGCCCTGGTTTTAATTCTGAGTACACACATCTCTCTCTGTCTCTCTCTGTCTCTCTCTGTCTCTCTCTCTCTCTCTCTCACACACACACACACACACACACACACACACACACACACACACACACCTATCTCCCAGAAAAAAGGCAAAAGACAGTAATTAAGGAATTCCCTCAGGCATCCTCAAGGGAGCAGCAGAAGGCAGGCCTATTGGCCTCCTGGCACAGCTTACACAGGGCTGGCAGTGCGCATCACCCCACCATTCCAGAGCAGCTCTGCACTCACCAGTTTGGGGAGGTCAATTTCAGCCAAGAGGAGGTCAGGCGCTTCCAGCCAAAGGTTCAGGTGAGGTTTCTCAGGGCTGTGGAAGAGCCAGGTCCAGAACTGAGGACAGCTGCCAGGCCTCTGTCAGCACAGGTGCCTGGCCTGGCTGCTGTTCCCCGTCTGCCTCCACCAGGCCCTGCTGCCACAGGATCCCCAGGCAAGAGCACCAGGGCAGAGCCCAGTGTGGGGAAGGAGGACCAAAAGAGGGGTTCGGCGGTGGAGGGGAGTCTTGAGGGGATCTGCGAAGGCCCACCSTTCCTCAGCTGGCCGGGAGCTGGGTGTATACAGGTTCCCCAGCTCCTGGATCCGAGGACGCTGCTGGGAGCGGATGTTCTGCTGCGAGATGGAGCCCATGAAAGTCCGATTCTTCAACATGCGCCATTCTGAGGGTGGATTGTAGAGTGAAAAATCACTGGGTCCCTTTGCTCTCTCAGGAGGTCCAGCCCAKCTGACCGCAGGGCCAGAGAAGCTCCGCCCCCTCCCTGGAGGCCTGGGTTCAGCCCATACCTGAAACTTTGCTCGAGGAAGACCCACCCTTCCCAGCATGCACCAATAAAGCCCACCCCAGATGTTCCAGGCCCTGCACCCATCTGAATGCCCTGGGCTAGCTCCACCCCCTCCCTGGCCTCCWGAACCAAGCTAATCTCTCCCAAGGGTGGCACTCTGGGCTCCATTCCTTTCCCAAGGCCCGGGCCTCGACCCTCACCTGGATTCAGCTGCAAGCCATATTTGTCCTCAAGGCCCTCCCTGGCGATGGTAACCACGAGCTCCCGCAAGAAATCACTGTTCTACATTGAGAAAGAGAAGAGTTGCAGTAGGGCTGAGGGCTGGAGGGAGAGGCCCCTACCCARGCCTTACCCACAATTCCACCAACCTGCATCCTCCGGTAGAAGTCAYTGTTGACAGCCACATCGTAAGCGGTACAGCCCTGGCCTTCTGCAGGGAGAGAAAGTGGATGAGATTCCTCCAGCCCCCCAGAGTAACCCCACAGCCCAAGCACAGGCAAAGACACACCAACCAGGGATAGCAGCCACAGGGACCAAAGACAGAGACATCAGGGAGTGACAGTTCAACACACAGTCCAGTGGACTCTCAAACTGGCGTC